TATATATATATATATATAATTATTTGATTAAAAGTATGATTATTTTTAAATACAATTAAAACAAATTAAAATTATTTTTAATTGTTTTCAAAAATATATTAATTTATTTTTAAAAATAACAGATAAAAATATGTAAAAAGTACACTAAATAAATATGTTCTTAAAGACAAAAATAAATAAATAAAATAAAATAAGTCCCAAGCAGACGTTTAGGGTTTAAGTATACATTACCTGAGAAACCATGAGGCAGAGGAAGAAGTTACGCATTTGCCGTTTCCTCAACCTTTGAACCCACAAGCCTGCGGACTCTCCCTCCTGCAGTATTCCTAAAACACGTATTAGCTAATCTTTGTTTTGTTTCCCTCTATATCTTATATACTATGAAGCAATGGCGCATCTAAATGGCCACAAACTGTGGCAAGGCTTTTTTTAGGGAAATGTACACATGAAGCATACAATTTTTATGTATTTACATATCTCACAGCTAAACTTTCATATTTACATGCATAGAATTTGTGTTTTAAACCTATGCAAGAAATGATGTACTTCACTTTTAAAAAGTTACAAGTGTTATTTTTTATGTGATATTAAAAATTTGTGTGCTGTGTGTAAATGTGAAAATTTTAGTGTAAGATATGTAAATACATAAGCATTGTGTGATATGTATGTAGATGTACCTTTTTGTTCATTATAATGGATGAATACCTGTATGATAGTTTTTTTTTAGTATTAACAGTGGTTCTTTTTTAAAAAAATTTTAATGATATTTTATTTCATCATGTGATGCCTTCACTAAAAAATGATAAAAAAAAATTATAGGTTTCATATAAATAATTTATTACATATAAAAATGTCAATCTCTTCAATTTTTTTTTATTATGCCATATCATCATATTCGTGTCATATTTGTGTCCCCATGTCCGCATTCATGCCCATCCTTGATAGCTTACATCTAGTTTGCTACATTTTACACACAAAAAGAAAAGATGGCAGCAGCACTCTCAAGATTATTCATTGCAGAGCTAAAAATAAATAAAGATTATGCCATATCATCGTATTCGTGTCATATTTGTGTCCCCATGTCCACATTCATGCCCATCCTTCATAGCTTACATCTAGTTTGCTACATTTTACACACTAAAAGAAAAGATGGCAGCAGCACTCTCAAGATTATTCATTGCAGAGCTAAAAATAAATAAAGCAGCTTTTTGGTGAAAAAAAAAACTGAAATATAATAATTCACAATTAAATGATTATGTTCATGCTAAGAGATAAATGTGAGCTGAGCTTCAATGTAAATTAATTGAATATTAGTTATTACCTCGCCACAGTTCCAGCTCAAGTTATGATTCTCTCCGTCTCTGTTATCTTCACCATTTGCAAAGTTATTCTTCTTGTTGTATGTGACCAGATCTGCGAGAGTGAATCCATCATGTGCGCAAACAAAATTGATGCTGTTCCATGGCTTTCGTCCGCCTTCCTGATGAATGCTAGAAGTGAGGAGTATATAGTTGATATTAGGGTAATTACTGCACCATGAGAATAATGGGCTACTAAATGGTTAGACCCCAGTGGTTCATGCATTCTAGATAGGGGCATTTACATGCATACCGCCCAATTCCTATATATTTACATAGTTAACACCTAAACTTTGCTTTTTTACATTTATACCACCCAAATCTTTCAGATCACATAAAAAATAGCAACTCTTTTAACATTTAAAAGTAAATAAACATCTCATGCATAGGTTAGGTCACATACATCTAAAAATTAAAATTTGGGTGTCAGGTATGTAAATATATAAGAATTGACTGGTATTTATGTAAATCTTCCTTCTAGGCATTATCTAAAGATATGACCCGGCATATTGTGCTGGAAATGATCTTTAAAAGGATGATGATACATGGAGTGCATTGCAGCAGTCTAAAGATCTTTATGAATCACAAAATAAGGATGTGCATGAGTGAGCATTAATGACTTGAGGTCAAGCTAGACTCATTTTTTTATAAACTCGAGCAAAATCCAAATACAACATACAAAATAGCATTGCATGTTCTGTAATGATTTTTTGCAACATAATAAAATGATTTCTGATAAAAGAAATGCATGTAAAAATAAGCCTTGGTATGTTGGTTGACATCCTCGGTGTAAGACCCCTCAGGCTGGGGGTTTGAATCTCCTCCGGCACAGTTGGTCTTAGGAGTTGGTACTCAAATTGTTATACACATTATAAGTGGATGGAGGCCCGTATAATAGCCTCTGGCCATTTATTTTATATGTATGTATACATACATACATATGTACGTATACATACATACATATGTACGTATACATACATACATATGTACGTATACATACATACATATCTACGTATACATACATACATATCTACGTATACATACATACATATCTACGTATACATACATACATATATCTTAAGATGACACTTTTTTATGATCTACGAGATTGAAATTACTTATGGATGGAGTTTCAGCAGTATTCATGAGAATTTAACAATTCATCAAGCCTAAGGAAAAAATTAAAGATGATTTGAGAACCTAAAAAATCATAAAAGTTCAGCTTTCTTCCAATTTTACCTTTTGCATATAACACTATACTCAAATTCAATAACACACTATTGTTTGGGATCCACATCATAAGAGTTGTATGTGCACAGATTTCATCAACTTTCATAATGAATAAATCATTTATTAAGCATGAAAAATATGATGACAAGGAAACATACAATTGCTTTAAGAAGTTCAATTTTACTGATGTATTTCATCATCCAAACTGCTCAGTACCGGAATGATAAGTATGATAGAGCTACAAATTTTAATTTTGAACTATCTTAGTTCCTACTCTTTGAAATAGTACATTTCTTTAAATGTAATTATAGCCATATGTATATGTTGGAATCTTGCAGCATGTCTACTGAGAAGAAAATTGCTCATCTCGAAAAAAAAGAAAGAAGATGGTGATGAGTTTAACTTACTACGCTAAATGGATGCCTAAACAAGGAGGTCACAAGCACATTAATTACAGTAAATTTAAAGTGCTTTGATCATGAGATATGCCCATTACAATGAAAGCCAAAACAATGTAGCGAACCTAATAACTATGAGCAATTTGCGCAAGCCGCCTTCACCCATCCCCATCCTTCACTACGAATGTCTTGCATAATCCTGCCTCCCCCGATCTCACAAATCAAGTAATTACCCATCACTTTTCTGCCAGCCACCTTCCCGGATCACACGATTCAAGGTCTCCGACACCTGACTTCTCGCGCCCATCTTGCACCTTAGGTCACTGACTTAATCAAGTGATTTCTCTCACACTCACTGCCAATCGATTTTCCACACCAACTCTAGTCGCGATTAAAGATCACGTGCAGCTAGAGCAGTGCAATAGTTGTCGAAACCACCCTCGCTCCTTGCGTGCCTTTTTCCTAGCTATCTAATCTTCCCAATCAAATCCTCTTCCTCTTGAAATCCGAGTCACCAGTCTTCCGCTGTCACTTAAGCAACATTCACCAAGTTTCTGCTAGCAGCCGCCAGATTTTTCCCCACATCCCATTTATACCATTACATATTTATCTAAAAAATGTTATAACATAAAGATAAATTTATGATAAGATAATAAGTTAAATACAAAAAAAATCTAACATGAGAGTTCCTCACTACCTGAGCCTGATTTGAAGACTTCTGCTCGAATTGATGCTTCGAAACTCACACAAAACCCACAAGACCACCTTCGGCCTTGTCTTCTGCTCGACAAAACCTTCAGCTCAGATAACACACCCGATATTAGATGCTAGTGCACTTGTCTCCATCCTAGTTTTTTCCTTGTCATCTTCCCCTTTTGATTGTCGTAAAGACGAGCATGTTCGTTTCTTCTTCTGCCACTATTTCTTCTTCTCCTCCTTTGCTTTGAACTATTTCTTCTTCTTCTCCTTTGCTTCAAATTGGTACACTTATCCCTAAACAAAACTGATGAAACTATTGAGGCATTTCTTTCTCACCCAAAAAAACTGCATTGGTTGAAATTTCTGATAATATAATATTATTAATTAATTATTTATTTATTTAATTATCATATACAATCAGATTAGCATTAGAGCTAATAATCATTTGATCTTATTTATTTCTTGATCGCATATATGGTAAATTTCTGGTTGATTGTTCACACTATATGTCCTGGTACCTTGTCATTTATGCTTTAATAAAAATAGTTATTTACTGGGTTTGATTTACCAAACTCATTTATTGATATTTTCTTATATGAGGTTCTAAATGTGTGTTTGGTGAACAATGGCCACAAGAGTAGACCTATTAGTATTGTTTCGGTAATATTAATTTATGTATTATTTCTATTTAATTCTTTTAGGTTTTGGGTAATTGCTTATGTATTTCATGTTTTGATTTTTTTCATTTAGTTTCTTTTTCTTTTGTCAGTTGTATTAGTAGTTGACTGATGAAATGGAATTAAAAAATTAGTCTCCTCAATTACTTGCTTTTCATGTTTTCCATATATAAATCTTTTATTTTGTGAGTACAAACTATATTCATATATTCATTCAACACACCTCGAGTTGTAAGTATGTAACCCCTTCCAGACCTGGGGTGTGATAAAAAATGAACTCTATATTAGTTAGTATAAATACATGATACAATTGTCAACTTTCTTAAAAGATCACTAGAGTGAATGCGTGAGATAGAAAAAAGAAGAGGAAGATGAAGATAAAAAGAACAATAGTACGAGGGAGAGGGAGAAAGAGAGATAAAGTGAAAAAGCAGAATGAACGAAAACACTCCAAAGCTTGCTTACATAACATTCTTGAGAGTAGGAGGTCCCCAATGTCAATGGCTGCCAAGAAATTGTACAAATGTGGAAGATGTAACCATAAGGCCCATCTTGATAGAAAAACTGAATTTATAGCTATAGTGGTTTGGTGATTGGCCGACAAAGATTAGGTGAGTTTTGTGCATCCTGTTGGCTGTTGTGATGAGTGGCAGGCAGGTGATAGTAACGGAAATGCTGGGATCAATAGCAACCATAAAAGATGGAGAAAAGCAGATCATTGTGGTGGCAATAGACCCCATACAGTATCACCATTGACATTGTAGATACATCCTTGCTCTTGGATCTTGAGCGTGCCCTTTACGTGGAAAAAGAGTTCTGATGTGTGGTGCGACTCGGTAGAGATGGTAACTAATGTTGTGAGTTCTGGTAATTAAAGAGGATTTAAATGTGATTGAAAGTTCTCGAGATAGAATCAAGAGAAAGCTTCTTGCAATGATTCCCCAAATTGAAACTGAGAAATCTTAGTAGTTCTTAAGACGATGAATATCAATAGTCTTAGTGATGCTAAAAAGAATTCAAAACTTCAATCTTGCATTTGAAGGTCATAATATCAAACTTTAATTGAGGCAACAATGATGGGGAGAAGCCTCTATCTCTCTCTCTCTCTAAATATAGATATTGACATGCAGACAATCTAATAAGTTTTGTTCAAATTCAGGTCATCTACATAACAAACAAGCCAAACTTGCGGCAGTTATCTAGACTAAAAAAAATCAATCCTCTACTGCCTTAATAGAAATATGGATTGAAAAATACATTTAAATCGAACGTCTAAAGCTTGTGATGCTCAATCGCAAAAGTAAATCAAAGAAAAGAGCACTAATCATTATTGCGTATAGCTTAATCCATAAAATCCTACCTGATATAGGTTGGGGCTTCCGCAAAGGCATCGAGCAAATGCTCCTGCAAATCCATCAGTGCCCTTAATAAATTGCCGCACCACATCACGGTACTGAGTTGAATAGTAAGAAAAACTCCAGTTATGCCTTGGTAAAGAAAGCCAACAAAAAATTGCAAATAATATCACGCTAGTCGAGAAATAAAGATTAGTGCGTCAAAATCGAAGTTCACCAAAGTAATTGGAGTCAGTTTAAGAGGAAAAAAGTTTATAAATAACAAGCACCAAAAGATTTTCATTATTCATTTTTACAAATAACATAAATAACGTTATATAATAGTTAGAAGTAATAATATTTAAATGTCCTCCGTCACATCAAGGAAGACAAGTATGGGCATTGAGTGAAGCACCTGTACGAGCAATCATTATGTCCACAATGTTAAGAAGGGGCGTATAAGCATTTGAAGGGGTTCCTACACAAACAAAATCAAATACAAAGAGTAAATAAACTCCATACCATACAAGAATTATGGTGGCAATCTCGCTCATATACCCTCATATAAGATCATGGCATGTTTGCAAGGAAAGGGGAGAATTTTGCGATTGTGAGAGGGATGAGAGAGAGATAAGGAGCCAAAATCAACAAAATCATAATTCGGTTAGGTTTGAAGGAGGAGAGGTGCTCGGGTGAGGATGAAGCACAAGAGAAGTGGCCGAAGGGGGCCTCACATGCGCACACGCGAGCATGTCAAACAAAAGAAGAGCGAGCGGTAGTAATGTTTCTATAAAATTATTATAACAGACTAATGAAATGATGATAATAAATGCTTTCTACCAATCCTTTTTCTCCTTATTTCCTATAGCCTGCCCTTATCTCTCTTGCTTTCTCAATCTACTCATCCACTTCACCTTTTCTCCTCTCAACCTTCTCCTTCAAGGCAAGCTTAACAAGGACTCAAATAATCAACCACGCCTCTTACTGCCTCTATAACTCATCCTTTGTTTCAAGATTAACTTTGAATAAAAAGACTTATGTATCACTGTTGAGATTTGTATCTAATATAGGGTCTTATTTATAAATAGATGAAGTTTAGAGATTTATTTGTAAATGTTGTACCTTGTAAGGTTCTATATATGTCTCTACTTGTGAAGGATCGAGCGGCTTTGTACAGATGGTCAAAAAGAATTGTCGCTTTGTTTTGCGGAAAAAAAAGATCGCGGCGGTGTGGTCTTGCCTAGTCCCCGCAATCTAGGCTTACATCATTGTGATTAAGGATGTCAAGGGAAAAAGATAGTGTAAGAGGTAAAAAATTGTAGCTTCTGGGAATGATAGATCCTAAAGTTTTGAAGATCTTGGTCGGGCTCATACATGAAGCTATCATCGCGACAAGAGCCACTACCTCAACACGTGTTTCGGCTCAGCCAAATGGACTTCTAGGAATGCAATCAACTTTGGCTGCCTCAAGCTCAAGTAGGACAGGTGCTCCGGAGGAAACCCGCAGGTGCTACAACTACAAAGAATTGCGACACCTAAGTAAGACTTGTCCAAATCTACCCAAGGAGAGAGAGATGGTTGGATGTGAACAACCTAGAGGTCATCGTCGTAATCGTGGGGGGTAAAGGAGTAAAAGAGGGGACTAACAGACAAATCTGATGATAGCGGAGAATGAGGGAAAGACAAGGGTGATCTTTACTGATGAGGATCACGAGTTATTGGACATGCTGAAAATGATACAGAGAGCGGCAGGTGATGTCACTGGGAATGCAACCATCTTATCGTCATCCAATGGCAACACTGATACTTATGCTCACGCAGCCAAAGATACTCATAATATACATACTCTTGCCTCTCTATCCACTACAAGATCAATATAATGAATAATAGATTATGGTGCATCTCGACATATGATAAATAACGCTAGGGATTTATTTCTCTTTCTATACTCATCTAGTAGTTCTAGAGAGCCTTTAGACAGCTGATAGCACAACACAACCTATGATTGGTGAGAGTATAGTCAGATGTACTGATTCTATGACTTTGTCCAATGTTTTGCATGCTCATTTCTTTTTAATGAATTTTTTATCCATTAGTGTCATTATTTTCCATTTAAAATGCATTATTTCTTTTGATATTCCTCAGGTGATCTTCCAAGAGAAAGGGACAGACCAGACACTTGGGACTGGAACGCAACATAGCGAACTCTGGTACTTGGATCGAGAGGGGATGGACTCAACTCTGACATCCATGGTGAAAAGTGCTGCAGTAGGAGAATCTGAGATGAACGTTGAGGATGCGTTACTGCTGCATCACAGACGTATGAGACATTCTAGAATTAATTTACTAATTTAGTTGTATCTATCTATGTATGAAAAGACAAATAAGGAGAAACTCGTGTGTGATGTTTGTATGTTTGGCAAGCTCACAAGGTGCTCTTATGTCAATTATAGGAAGAGAAGCTTTGGTGTGTTTGATTTGATACATGTTGATGTATGAGAGCATTATCCTACTAGTTCTATGAATGATTATCGTTATTTTGTTACGTTTATTGATTGTTTTTATCGTGTTACCTAGATGTACTTGACGAGATTGAAGAGTAAAATGGATGTTAGTTTTAAAGATTTTCACAAGGCAATCCAGACCAAATTTGATGCAGTTATGAAGGCACTAAGATCTCATAATAGAACAAAATATATCAACAAAGCATTTGGGAACTACCTGTCAGCTCAAGAGATACATCATCAAATGGCATGCCCATACACAACAACACGGAATGGAGTAGCAAAGAGGTAGAATGAACAACTTATAGAGGTAGCCCGAAGCAAGATGATGACACCGACATCATCTGTATTTGATTCAAAATTATCAAGTGATATTATTCATCATACGTTTTGGGAGGAAACTTGACATTGCGAACTTTTTTCTTATTCTGACATCTCACATTTGCATGAAACATTCATTGTGTCATTAAGCTCTATCTCTATACTTAAATGTTGGTATGTTGTTAAAGAGGATCTCAAGGGGAAAGCGGCGATGCATGAAGAGCTTGGAACTCTTGATAAAAACGAAACATGGGAGATTGTACCACTACCAGCAAGGAAGAAGACAGCTGGATGCAAGTGGACCTTTAAAGTCAAGCAAACTCCAAAAGAGAATATGAAGGGGTACAAAGCAAGACTAATGATAAAAGAGTACAGTCAGGCGTATGACATTGACTACAATGAAACATTAACACCAGTAGCAAAGATGAGAACGGTGAGGACACTAACTTCTCCGGCCGTGAATTGTGGATGAACACTCAACTAACTAGATGTGAAGAATGATTTTCTTAATGAAGAGCTACTAGAGGAGGTATATATGGAGATACCACCAGGATTCGATACATCCCAAACAGTGTGCAAAGAAGCCTAGTTTGACAAGTTTAAAATAACGATGATTGGCATGGGATATCAGCAATCAATGCAGACAACACGGTGTTCTTTCGGCAACATGAGGTCACACTACCGTACTTGTTGTGTATTAAGATGACAAAATTATCACTAGTGATGATGAAACAGAGATTGCTTAACTAAAAGGGAAGATTGGGGAAGCAATTTAAAGTAAGGGATATAGAACATCTAAATACTTTCATGGGATTAAAGCGGCCAATAGACCTGAGGGGATGGTCCAATCTCAGAGAAAGTATATATTGTATCTTCTCACGGAGACATGTATGAGGTGGTGCAAATCTGCAGCCTCCAATTTATCAGAAGATCAAGCTCAGTACAAAGGCAGGTGAATTGGTTGATCGTCAAACGTACCAGAGGCTGGCGGGCCGCCTGATCTATGTGTCAAACTCGACCCCATATTTCTTTTGCAGTAAGTACAGTGAGTCGCTACATACATGATCCAAAAAATGGACATATGTAGATATTGAGGGTCTTTTTGCAATTCTGACTGAGTGAGTTGTACTGATGATAGGAGGTTCATATTTGTATACTGCATGTTCGTAGGGGGCAACTTGGTCTCTTAGAAGAGCAAAAAACAATCAGTAGTAGTAAAATCAACAACAGAGGCAGAGTATAAGGTCATAGAGTAGTTGCGAGATGATGCGACTGAGAGCCTTGTTCGTAAAGCTCAAGGTAGACCAAGGAGCTCAAATGAAGTTGTGGCGCGACTAGTCAGCGATCAACATCGCCAACAACCCGGTGCAACATAGTAGAACCAAACGTGGAGATTGATAGGTTCTTCATCCAAAAAAAGCGGAATAACGGACTAATGAAGCCAAGTCATGTAGCCTCTAGAGAGCAAGTGACTGACTGTCTCGCCAAAGGACTTCTCATTAGATTTGTCTAGGTTATGTGGAAAGATGGGCTTAGTGAATATCTTTGCCCATTTTGAGGGAGAGTGTTGAGATTTGTATCTAATGTAGTGTCGTATTTGTAAATAGATAAAATCTAAGGATTTATTTATAAATGTTGTAACTTGTAAGGCTCTCTATATAAGCCCCTCATCAATGAAATGAAAGGAAATTTTTTGTGCAATTTCTTTCTTTAATAACCTTCCTTTTTTTCCGGCTAAAATGAAAAACTGCCGATCTTATTGATTAAAAACGAACGTTACAAAACAATTACAAAGCAGCAGGGAAACACAAAAAGAAACTGAAAGAAGATGATCAATTGAGTAAAAAAAACAGTATATCAGGCTCTTAAAGTTAAGCCCGAGTGAACTGGCTAGCTTGTCTTATCACCACAACCATCCTCTATCTTCAAGCTAAACATGCTATTTAAGCTATCACAAGGATAAAGTTTAACCGCGCTAATCATAGTTATTCACCACACATTTCAAGATTAATTTATACTTTTTCTCAACCAAATGGTTGTTTGTTAATCCGAACTAACATGAAAAGCCTAAATACTAGTGAGGTTATCTTTATCATATAAAATAAACCAAACAAGACATAGGCTTATTTTATAAGATAAAACCCCTGAAAATCAGGACGTCCTTATATAACATGACACCACAACTCTAAATTCCCTAAAATTACCAGGCATTAACGCAAGAAAAAACATTAGCTTTCACATTTCATTCGCCAAATCTTCAAAGAACCATGAAAATTTTAACATAACCCAACTTTCTTTATGTCATATTTCTACGCCCCTTTAATTCCTTTACAACGCACTAAGCCTTCTTTTAATAGCATAAATCCACGCTACTTAATTCCTTTATATCTTCAAGATCATCAAGATATTTTAGCAACTGTAAATTTAATTCAGATTTTATTTTCCAACAACTATCATGCGACAGTTCTGCACATAATCTTAATAAAATTGCGAGATGGTAACTTTGGTCTCAAACTTAACAGAAGTAACTTCTTTAAGCCATTTGGTTCCCGAATTTTCTATGAACTTCAACAAAACGCAATGAATGTCACTTGGTTAAGATGGTAATGTTAATGATAAGCAATTGTATCAGACTATATGAAATTCCAAAAATTCAATGAAATTCCTCCATATCATTTCAGAAAAACAACATCGACTAACCTGCCCATTCCATTCAGACCAAATTTGAAAATGAGGGAACCGGCCAACTTGATAAAGGCCTCCCGCATCCCATGCCTCAGCAATCAGCTATTGCATGTGAAAAGAAATTGTAATTTAAGCACTGATATTTTCTGAAGAAAATTTGAAAAAATCATTATAACAATTCCAAGGCTATAGAACCAGGACCCTATTAAGGATGCAAAAGCTTAGCTATGTCTCACCAATGTAACATTAGAGATCATGTTGAATTTAGATTAAGAAAATGAATAGGCATCAGTACCTTGACCCCTCTAAGAACTGGATCATTACTAATCATGTCAATGAGTGGAGGGTTGCTAAGAGGGGTTCCCATAGTGAGTAGGTCCCCTTCTACTTGCCTTCCATATGCACTAACTGAATCCCATAAACTTGAGGAGAAAAAATGTATTACAAACATAAACTATAATTATAGGGCATATTTTGTGAACATTAAATTGGTCTATATTTAAAATAGTAAAAAATACCTAGTAGCCCTTGTCAGTATAGAGGCAAGGTCAAAGCGAAAGCCATCAACGTGCATCTCTGTAACCCAGTATCTGTAAAAATCCACTGAAAAGCATATGAGAAATAGGAATCAAAACCTTAGAAGATTCACTTATGTCATCAATTTTTTATGACTCGGCTTTGATATTATTCAACAACACGCTACTGAACTGATTGACCCATAATGCTCACATGGGGTCCTGCAATCCTTTTGTAAAAGGCCTTTTGATAATTGTATTATTGTCCAAAGCATGGTTTGGTAAAACTGTTAAAACTAGTACATTTCACTAGTTTTGGATCAGTTTTAACCAGATCAACTACGAAACATAGTGCATAGTATCAGTTTTGGATGATAATGATGAGTTTAGATCAAATTAGATCAAGTTTTGAAAAAATCGGGTCGATCTTTCAACGCCTTTGGAGATAATAGTGGGCAATAAGATTAAAATTTCAAAACATAACTAGTAATCAACATATTGTTTTAAATTATGAATAAATGATCATTATTAAAAACAAAATAAAATATTGAATATCTTTTTATCACTCAAATTTATTCATGAAAATTAAGTTAAAGTTGGAAAAATGAAAAATTTGTACTAAAACTTTCACTGAAATGGTATAAAAGCATACAATTATTTAAAAAAAAAAGGAAATTTACATAAATAGCACCCAATCCTTATGCATTTACTTATCTCACACCCAAACTTCGATTTTTACACCCTAAGCACCCTAACCTACGTATGAAAAGGCGGATTACACTATTCCCACCTTTTCATACAAAGGAAAATGTGCTTTAGGTGTAAAAATCAAACTTTGGATGTGAGATAAGTAAATGCATAAGAATTTGGTGCAATGTATGTAAATTCCCCTTTAAAAAATACATCTTTATATAGGGAGGACATGGGGGTAATCTCAAAGAATTTTTATGTTATATGATGGAATTGACATATACTTATAGACTTGTGATTAGAATATATTTCCGGTAAAAGAAAGAATTCATATCTCATTGGTTTATTTTTCAAAATTCTAAAATAACTTTTGCAAGGCAATATACTAGTTTTTATACCAGATTCTCTACAGATATATCCTGACAGATATCATGACCAGAGGGCTACCTCATACAATCTTTAATGAATCGACGGACGATTGGATGGTTACAATTAAAGGTGTTCCCACAACCAGAGTAATTGTAGAAGTCGCCCTGTAGAAAAATCAATAATTTGCAGAAACTCAGCTAACTTTTTTTCAATCTAAATGTTCAACATCTGCCATTAAGTAGCAATGTATTGAGGGGAAAAAATTAAAAAAGACGTTCAAGCAAGATGTGTGAAACTCATTCAACAAGCACACGAACACAAAATGTGTTAAATTGATAATATTGTTGAATTTCAAAATGTAAATTTTAAATTTGAATTGCAAGTATTTAGTTGGGCCACTTAAACTATGTTTTTTGTACATCAGCAACACCGGCAAGATGATCTGAAACTCTAGCATCTTTGTGTCTTTCATCATCTCTAACAAATAGGTGTTTGGGACTAGTAGAATGTTTTCATGCAACATTTGCATGTTTTATTGTTTGTCTTCTTCTTTATCTCCCTTCTCTTGTTCCTCTTCTTTTCTTATGATTGGCTAAAAATGTTACTAACTTTATCTCCAATTTATATTAGAAGGCCAAAATCTCATAATTGGAGTGGGATTGCATCTGTTTTCTAGATTTTTCGTTACAGTAATTTCTTAAAACTAATAGCTTGCTTTCCTGTGAAATTTGCAGACAGTCTTGTTGTAGGTTGCTTGCAACAAATTTTTAAAAAGAAAAATTTCCTATAACTCTCTACAACGCATATTAAATCCTAAAATCCAGAATGTTCTACGTCTCATGATAAGTTCAGCGAATTGACTATGACAGCATGTAAAGTGTCACTGTACGTGCAAATCACTTAATAAAATGTGCTCAAATGAAAATTATTCATATTAAAAAATTTGAAAGAAAAAAAACTGAAATTTAAGAAAAAGCACCTTCGGCGCAATCATATAATAAGTTCTGTTATCAATGCCCCTGAATGAGATTATGGGACCATTCTCGTTTCCCTCAGCGGTATGATTGAAAACAATATCAATGACGACCTGGCAAGCAAATCAAAGTGATGAGAGAAGGATAATAACAACAAAAGTCGCCTAAGAAGCAAATATTTTGTCACCTCAATGCCTCGTTTGTGAGCTTCTCTAACAAGCATTTTGAATTCATTTATCACATCACGGCCAGCATTAGCCGTACCAGTAGTTGAATATCTTGACATCGGTGAAAAGAAGTTGATCGTTGAGTAACCCCAGAAATTCATCCTAACATTAGAACTAGGAAATTTTAGAGAGGAAAAGATGAGTTCCAAGAAAAGTGAAAACACTCTGGTGAAGACAGTTAAAAGTTACAATATCTCCATTACCCATATCCATGGAGAATAAAAAATTTGAAATCAAAATATGTAGTAAAAATTATAAGCTGATGTCCTCTTTGCTTATTCCACTGTCTGTCTTGCTCAAACGCAATGAAAACGGCATACAGTGGATGAGACGTTGAGCAAAATTGCCTTATATGTCTTCATCACAACAAAATTTACTCCACCATCGCTTGTTTTGCAAAGCAACCTATGCCGATATATTTGGAAGATTACATATATTTAAAAAAGATACCCATAAAGCCCAATCCTCCACACACAAATAAAGTAACAAAAAATTACTTGTGTGGCGAAGAAACCAAAATTGACATGTACATGTGCAACTGGAATGTTACAAGCAAGAGCCAATACATATGTGCTACCACTTTTGCGCTTTCCATGTCATGCCATAATTCTCCCATCTCAGGCCATGCAGCCTCAATGTCGTACCCATATCTCTCGTTCCACCATTAATATAAAATACTAACTAATAAAAAATGTAAACCAATTCATTCTTTCCTCATTCGCACATAAATGCAAATGAATTTAAATCGCTTTAAAGATGCAATAAAATCATAATTTGCTAAATTTTGCAATATATATATATATATATTTTTTCTTTGAGAAAGCACAAAAACTAATATATTAAATAAAAAAAAAGGATACAGATAGATTGTGTGGGAAGACCAAAACAAGACATTCTACCCACATGATAACCACAAATAGTTACAAAAAGAGAAAATACATAAAAATACATGAGAGACCTAAAGAAAAAACCTAAAAGTGTTAAAATACGGAGTATCAGGTAGCTAGTGAGTGACCCAATTTTGCCTCGCCTCTGCCTCTAGTTCTAGGGAAGGAGCCAGCTAATAAATTGGTAAGATGAGTGTCATTGCCAGTAGTAACTAATGTATCATCCAATAAATTCTCAAGCTCGAGTCAGCCTCCATTTTTCTTCTTCCTCCTGGAATAGACCTGTCTTTCATCATCCGAAGATTGGCTCGCCAGATCAATTAATTGGTCTAAAGTGTGTCGGACATGTGTAGATTGTTGAACATTAGAAGCAACTACTTGTTGTACCAGCTAGTCTTTTATCGAATCGAATGTGCACTCTCGTGTGTCTTGATCTATAAGTGAGTTTTCTTTAATAATAGTGAGTGGCATAAGCACATTTGGATCTGTACCTATAGTATGGTGTTCTTCATTTGGGACTGGGGTGTTGGAAAGAGAATCGGGTTGCACCTTCTCAGCAGGGATGGTATACGGCTGATCTTTAGCGAAATTCGACCTTAGATGAGGATGCAAGCACTAGCAAATAGTAGAACTGTAGTCAAACATACTACAATGAGAGCAATAAGGAGAGTGTGGTTTTATTTTAATTTTTTGTCAATACTCATTGTGAGTGGTGTCAACCCATACCTCATCCGGAGCTAGTTGAGTGATAGCTATTTCAACTAACACACAAGTCACAGAGGATTTAGTGACAGCAAACGTAGGACTATCAACCTTGAAAGACTTATCGTAAGCAGTTGCTAAAAATTTGATAATTTCCAAGTTGAATAGATGTAATTTTAACCCCAGAAACTTTATCCAAACAAGAATGATAGGGGACTCCGCTTTTGGATCAAAATCAACAGTCCACATGAGAATTTTCATAAAACGGTTGTCTATCTTGATAACTTTTTGAGAAAAAATGTGAGCGTAATCAGCATCGTGAGATAACTGAATAAATATATGTCGACCGTCAAATGAGTCAATATTCAAACTGTCCCATAGCTTCATAGCATCAAACTATTTTTGAATGATTTCCAGCTTTGGGTGACCACAAAGAAATTTTCCCACTAGAGCAAAAACGCCAAGAGGACGCGAGAGTATTGGTTTTAACCTCAGTGAGAATAAGAGCAGACTTCCCATTTTTTTCAAGCTTTTTAATGAAAGTGTGATCACCGCACCTTCAAGAGCGTCGATTGAGGAATATTGCAGGACTTGTCAATATAAAAACCAGATTCTAAACCTGAAGGAGGAGCACGAGTAGAAATAGGACAGTCACCGACAAGTACATTGGCATAGAAATGCATCGTCGAGGCCATCAACAAAACGGTCAGGCAGCTGCTAGAAAAAGTAGAGCAAAGATAAATTCTGTCAGGCAGGTGATAGGGACTGTTCAAGTATAGGAGACCTTCTGTCGGGCAGGGCGACAAAGGCGATTCTGTTGAGTGAGGCCGGCAGGGCGAAGGCGTCGTCGAGGAAGAAACTGTTTGTCGGGCAAGAGGCAAGCAGACAGGCGCGTCTTTGGTTAGGGGCGAAGATGGCATCGTCGTCTACGGGTGCTGCGAGACAAAACGTCTGTCGGAGGCGAGTCGGAGGCTAGGCCGTGATAACAAACGACATCGTTAGGCTGGAAAGACAAAACTCGAGCTTATGAATTCATGAAAACGACGTCGTGGTAGATGACGGAGATGTGAGTCTGATAGTTTCACCGTCGGGAATCGCCCATCATATATATATATATATATATCCAATCCTCCACACAC